TGTTTGAATAGCACTTAGCCCCATGAGACTTAAAGCCTTCAGGTACAAATGTAACTCATTTAAATGGTAATGTACAACAAAATGAGTGGCACCCTTCAAAACAAGTGGCATTTGTAAGTATATCTGTGCCAGGTGCTGAACAAATGGAGGGTCATTGTTACAGACACAGGGAAAGGTCTCGGGTGAGCCAATATTTAAAAGTCAGTTTTTCCAGTCAAAGGGCAAACTCTAAAATGTCTGCTTATTTCTCTACTGACTGTGCCCTGGAGCACTGCGCCTGCCTCCCAGAGAGCAGCACATTAGGACTCCAAAGGTATTTCCCATACAAGGTCAGATCAATTAAAATGTGCTTTAAATACAGTCAGGAGCTCTGCAACCCTGATTAGGTCCCAGACACTCTGAAGGGCAGAATCTAAGGCAATCTGCTGACCTCAGGTAGGAGAGCCAGATAACGAGGCACGAACCTGCTTTTTCACTACCCTGGGACTGAAGGCTTTGCTGGCCACGTAATACTGCTGCAATGACAGCAATGCCAGGAGTGAACCGAAAACCTGTTTTTTCTCCTACTGAAGTCAACAGCAAAGCTCAAAAAACAAGTCTTTCAAAAGTCAGGACAAGCTCTTTCAGCCATTCCAGGGAGACCAGACAGCACAGTACGCATTGCTGCCTTCGTTTGCCAGACCTGATAGGAAGCTCCCACAGAAATATATACATTAAAGAAATAAATGAATCAAAACCTTTGCAGAATGAAGCTGTACTGGCTCACACCAGGACCTGGGCTGTCCACTTGGAAGACGTATCAACGAAACAAAAGCTATCTCAGAGACAGCTCTTTACCACCAAGATTTGAATAAGGTTCTAATCTCTATAGAATATATATTAATATAACTGCAGCAAGTGAAGTATGCTATTGAGTAACTGCTGATGCAGTGGAGAGAAGGCAGAAATGTTATTTGCATCTGCTGTAAGAGCATCTCTTTACTGCTCATCCATTCCTCAGCAAGACGTAGCTGAATGACAGCTGCCCTTCCCTCTCATCTGGGAACCCCGGGAGTATACCTAGGAATGACCTGTCTCAAGCTGAGTGCAAGTCAGAAGCAAAAGACATATAAAAAAGGTAAAACCAGGCTACTGAGGAAGTGTGGATCACCCGGAGTCCCTGTGCTCTGAAAAATCCCCCTCCTTTTGCCACCACGCTCCTGCTGTCCCCACGCAGCTTGTGGGAGAGTTTTGGGAAGGGAAACAGTGAGTAAAGTAATGGGCTCCTATGTGAGCTGCTGTAAGGTTACTGTCATGCCAAACACACCCCATCATCAGGCAGTTCCCCTGCAGGTCTGATAATAAATCTCTCTGAACATCTACACTGTCAAGAGTTATGTCTTATTCTATGTATTCCACAAACAGATTTCTGCAAGTCAAATTCTGCATGAAGCCATGAGATGCTACATACAGGAGCAGCCTGGGAGGCAGTTTCTGCTTTTTAATTTGCATTTGTGATACCATTGCACATTGACAGAATTATTCTTTCCTTTCTCCTAAATACCGCTGATAAGTAAAATATTTTCAGCAGGATCTTCATCTGGAGAAAGTCAGTGTAGCTCCACTGAACCACCGCTAAAGCAATTTACACCATCTGAAGCCCTGGAGCAAAAAAAATCCAAGTTAATGGGATATAAGCCAAAATTGGAGTGTTTTGCTGGATACAAACCAGATTTACTTGTTTGCTTAAACAGGTGCCTAAGTGCTCTAGTGAATTGGGGCCCAAATATGGCACCATTTTTTATTTGTGTCCTCTTCTGCCAGCTTGGACATCTGATATAGAGGTCATCTTATAGCTAACATTTTTGCCTTAAACCCCGCCTATAGCCACAATATAGAACAGCTGTCTGTGGAGTTATGTTCCACACATAACTTTAAAAATAAAATGCAAGTGACTGGAAAACGTGGGTTTATAACTAGAAACAGAATATGTGGGTACCTTGAAATAGAAATAAATGAAACACTTTCTGCATGCTGAGAAAAGAACAAGTAATCATCTCGTATTTCTATTGCATTCTCTTTTAGTACTGATGTTTCAATACTGCAGTTAGAGTGTCCTAGAAATGCCTTAGCTGGAACTGGTTAGACCAGAAGCACTGTAAAGAAAAAGGTTTTACATAGGCATTAAATGAGTTTTTGCCTAGACACCATCTGATTTCTCCATAGGGAATCTAAGTTTGTAATAACTGCAATTCTAGCAATGTCCCCATAGATGTACACTGCTTATTACATGGTTAGCAGCAGCACAGATTACGGGAGTAGCTACTGACTCCTCCAACTCATCCATCCAACTTGCAAATTCTGACAAGTGAGTTGAAATCCCACCTCCCAGGAGTAATTTTAGATATTGGACTATGACCATGGTGGTCTGATGGAAAATGCAAAAGTAAGCTTGGAGCCCATGTCCATAATGCAAGGTTCTCCTCATTTTCCCCGAGTCCCTGGTCACTAGATAAGAGTCCTGCTTTCTCACTTGATTTCTGTTCCAGTCCACACTCCATCTCTTTCTGGAAGATGCCTCACCACGTGACTGAGGCGGTGAGGACCCCTCCTCTCCCTGCCCCTCATGTGAAGGCAAGCTCACCTCTGGCCTCCTGATTAGTGAAACCTGGCAAGAGCTGGGGGTTGAGGAAAAGGGAATTTATGTCCCACTTCATGAAATTTAATCTTTAGGCTTTATTTAGAGTCACAATTGCATTGGCTTAAAAAAACAGCAGCTGTCAATATATTTTTTCCTGTTGCTGGGAAGTAAGTGTGATGTGAGATGCTTGGTAAACTGGGCCATCAAAGGACCTAGAAAGGGTTCCCTCAGCAAGGAGGAGGTGAGGGACTTTATGGGAAGATCTGCAACCAAGGGAGAAAGAATTCTAGTGTGAATTAGCACTACCAAAAGTAACTCAGGCTGTTCTCCAAACACCAGTGGGTTTCTAAGGTTTTACTTGATGCTGTAACAAACTCAACAAGATCACGTCTTTAAGTGTGCAATTTAATGGCTATTTTAAATCATTAAATCTGAATAGAAAAATAATGAAATAAAGCATCCAGCTTAATTTTGCAATTATCATTTGTAATCTTATATAATCAAGCATTTTGCAAAATAGGCTTGAATCATAAACCAAGCATATATTTGTACAAATTTTAACTGGACAGAACTGCAAAAGTAACCAAAAAGAAAGGAACATTACAGGTTCTAAGGTCTGGAGATACGAAAGATAATTTCCTCTCCACAGATACCAATAAAGAACGGCATTTGCATAGGGAAAGGTCTATTATTTCATCCATCAGTGCCTCACCTTATTTTGCATCTCAGGCTTGTTTTGTGTCACTAAGCCAGAGGCTAAATGCACTTAATATGCATGCTATTGCCAAGTTGACATGGAACTAAGCAGCCCTGAAATGTCTCTTTTGTTACTTTGTGGCCAACACAACCTTAGTTAGAAATTAAGAAGGAAGTTTCAAAGGATGCAGACCTAATCAGCAAACACTATATAGAGGACTATTTAAACACATTGTCAGGTTTATCAAAATTGGGGTGGATGATTAGTGGCTTGATTATTTCAGAGGATTATAATATTGCCAGAGTGGGGGAGAAATAATGAAGATCTCTGAGGAGAGGATGAAGTGGCTGGCAAATAAAAGAAACAAAAACTCTTGTGTCCATTCAAGAGGGAGTTACAGGCTACCTTGAAAAGACTGTGAGCCCAGCCCTGCTGTGCCCAGGGCTCAGAGGCTACCACAGCTCACCTTGCAGCAGCACCACTAAGATGTGCACCTCCAGAGGACAGCACAAAACCTGACACCACAGTGCAGAGCTCTCCGTGAATATATTCTCCTTTGGCTCTCTTGTTTAGAGGTTTTCCCCTTCGCTAATAAATACTTGTCCCTCAGCATGCTGCTGCCTTTTTTATTTTGATTTTATTTATTTAGCTGATCCTTGCTTTGAAAACAAACACAATGTATTGGATCACTGCGTGGTTTTGAGTCCATCTTTGGAAGAACTGTGACTTTCTGCACACATACAGAAAAGTAAATATAGCAAGAATTTACAGCATAATAAATATACCTGGTATTCAAGGATATCCATGAGGGGATTCTCTAGAAATTCTAGATGCCACATTCCCCCACATACAACCCAACACAGTGCCAAATGCCAGTAAGCGAACACAGTGCACTTTTTTCCAGGGATAAACCAGAGAAGTAGATAAGAACAGGGCATCCTTTGTAACCTGTGCAAAGTCACAAAGATATTTAAGCATCAAATTCTTGCTCTCTCTCCTACTTCTCCAGCTGCAGAATGAGGGGGAAAGCATTTACCCCCCTCTTGCAGGCCTCTTGCAAGGGCAAGAGAACTAAGTGGTTGGATACCATGCTGTCAGGGCTACATAAGGAAAGAAAAAGAGGGAGGGAAAAATTTCACACATTAGAGGCTGTTTGGCCAAATCACTGGAAAATACACAAGATGGTGTCATTAGAAGCACTAGCTTTTCATTAAATCTGCCTGGAGTTACCCCAGCCAGCATCAGCGGGAGATGAGGACCAGGCACAGCTACTGTCTAACCAGAGAGCAAATGCAGCAGTGTCAGAGAGAAATTAATATAGTCATTTGCTACGATGGGCCTACAGACCCCAGGGCTTGACTTCAGTTCCTAAAGTTTTCTTGTGTTTTTAGACCCATTTTTAATTGCTTCATCTCATAAGGGAAAACAAGTATGTGAGCCGGAGGTCTTTGTTCTGTAAACTATGAAGTGCTAAGAGAATATAAGTATTATCATCGCTATTTATTTTACCCTTTGGTGTTTTGTCACTCCTTCCTGATTGGTTTATGATGACTAATGTCAAAACTCTGTTCCCAGTTATCTCTTGGGCGAAGAGATAACATAATATGACATTTAATACAGTGTACCACAGGCCATCCTCTCTCTTCCAAACATTAAAATCACACACATAGAAAGAAGCAATCGTAACAATAAATGTATCTTTTATTCACAGATAAAAACTGAAGCAAGCTGTTATAATACATATTTGTACAAAGGATTTGAAAAAACCATAAAAAGGAAGATGATTAGAAAATATGATTCATTATGAAATGTGGTATTACATACACTATTAAACCTTTTCAAAAGTATTTGTTTGGCAACAATTTATCAATAGTTTCCACACTTAAGTGGCCTCCTTCAAAAAAGCACAAATCTCATGCAGCATGTATAAACTTGATCCTGAGGGTTTGCCTTCCTTAGAAAAACTGTAAAAAGATATACTATTTGTCTTAAAAGTTCAAAATGCAAATGCTATATTTATAGTCAAAACTATATAAAAATATGGACCTAACTTAACATTTACAAAAACTTTTTGTTCCTTTTTTTTTTGTTTGTTTTATGGTTTTGGTAATAAACATAATTCTCAATTCCTGCAGTCAGAGAGGAAAAAAGAAAACCAAAACAAACCACAGTGCCCTTTGTAGACTTCCTCACATTAAGTTTACGACTCCAAAAAGACCAGGTCTGTAATAAGCGAGGTTAGTAACCAAGGAAATAGGTAAGCAGTTAATATATATCTATATATGTATATATAAAATGGAAAACAAACATTTATTTTGATCTGAAAAAGTAATAATACAAAGCCTGAAGGTAAAACAATCATCTCAAAATGCCATAATACACCTTTTCAATAGATAAATGTTCATAAAAATATCTTGAACCCTAACCAAGAAAACAATTATAATACAATTTTAATTCTGCTACATAAAACAGCTTTTCCATGAAACAAGAAGGCAAGTTCAGGTATGAAAACATAATTTACTTATTGCTTTTGCTACAATGTTGTTTGTTTTTTACATATAGTCATAAATACACTATACAGTATAAAATATTTCGTAGGAATACATTTTGTGGTCTGCTTAGGTTTGCTGGCTTTAATTCTAGCACCAAATACAAAAATGAAAACCAAATTAATTTTAAAGGCACTTCCATTGTATATTTGTTTGTCAATTAACATCTTGGTTTGTAATAAATTTATTCGCTTCCCTCTGGTAGAAGCAATACTTGATCCTATCTTTGTACAGTTCAGGTCACGTTGAGGCACCAAATGAATTATGAACATTCCCATCCCTCAGCTGTTTCCTTCTCTCACAACACTCATTGTTGCTTTTTAGTCATCACCTTTCCTCCTTCACTTCCCAGCTACTTTATCTCTTTACTTCTTCATGTCGGACGATCCAGCTTCACTTCCTTCAGTCCCTTGAAAAACCTCTCTTCAGACCTCCACTTCCCTTACTCCATCTTGCGTATCTGTTATTCCAATATCAAAACAAGTCACTATCATGATATGTGACTTGCACAGATTAACACACTGCTCCAGTTCCTCTGTCACTTGTTCCAGTGCCTCCAGGTACTCCTGTGACTCCTTATCAAGATCAGGATCCACTTCAACTGTCAGACAAAAAAATTAGTAAGAGAAACTGCTCATAGCAAAACATTATTCTATCAAAAGGGAGCCAATAATGTAGAGCACAATTTTATTTCTCTTGAACTAAGAAAGTTTTTCAACTTTGTTCAGCAGATGCAAAACTCTACTTTGAGGCTCCAGTTAAGCACAGCACTCAGTCTGTGAACAAATCTCATGCCTCAGTTTCCCAGCCGTAACATGGATATGAAAACATTTTTTTCCTTCTTTGTGAAGAAGGAAAATAAAAGGTTATCTACATATTTAATATTAACAAGCATCCCGGTGAGTCTCTGCACTGTTTTGGCAATCTCCTCTGGTTGGTTTGGTGGGTTTTTTTTGTTTATTTCCAGTACTACTCAGCACTGAACAAATCCCGTATCAGATATACTGGAGTCACAGTATTTTAGGGCTCAATTCAGCGAAATATCTTAGGAAGTGCTTAACTTTTTCGGTGGGACTGCTCAAGTGCTGCAAATTTGTTACGTGCTGATCATACTGCTGTTTTAGCAAAATACTTACAGTCTTCTTTCCACTTGTTTGGATCCATCATCAGCCTGCACTTTGTCTCTTCCAACTCTTCCTTCAAGAATTCATGCTTTGCCTTTACTTCTCTGATTCGCTGCTGGCGCCTTTCTAGTATCTTCAGCTTGGTATGGAAATACATCAGACCCTTTTAAGACACAGAAAGTCCATTTCATGAATTTGCCTGTTATGAGCTGACCTCTAACAGTTTGACACAAATTGCTCCCACCTCATTACCTGTAAGAGTTATAGCAGGTGCGTTGTTTTGTTTGGTTATGCAGTTGGTGGTTTTTCTGATTTTTTTCTATTTGAAGTTTACATTAATGGATTCTAATCTAGAGGAACAGCATGCTACATCACTTGAGCATTTATTGCACTTCTCTGAATTAACAAACATCTTAATACATTCTGAAATTACTACTGTTTGTAGAGGGATTTTTTTTCCAGCAGTGCAAATTATAAACACAGACTAATAATAATGTTAGAGTTACATTTAATCCTAAAATGTATGAATTCTTATTTTCTTAAAAGCATTCCTACCTTCTCAACATCCTGGAAAGGCTATTATAAAAGAAATGGGAAAAAGCCATCAGAAGAATATAGAATTCTGGTCTCCAAAATAGAATTAGTTGAAGTGCTTTCCAATTACAAGTAAATTAAACTCAGTGTATCCCTGATTTAATAGAATTCTGTCATTAACATAAAGAGTTAATGACGCTATAGTGGAGGAAGCCTGTAAGGTTTCATCATCCAGAGTAAGATTATAAAGTCTTCTCATAATGTATTCATTGGTAACTTCCATTTATACCATCAGTCATGTTAGACACAATTAATTTTAGACAGTAATCATTTTGATTTTCTGTGCTAAGGGTACCCCAACATATGAATTGTAAAATTAATAATTACAGTGCTTTAATTGCAATCAATTTCCTGAACACCATTCTGGCATTCAAGCAAGGACTCTGCCTGTATACTGTAATTTAAGTTGTCTACAGTTGTTGTAAAATATGTGCTGACCTCAGTTTCCTCTTGTCTGTGTCGCTGTAATCGTTCCACATCATCAATCTCATAAACTTTAATTTCAAATGGCTCTTTTAAAGTGCCTGGCAAAGGTGGTAGATCAACCCATTGGCCAGTGACGCTGGGTTTTCTTCCTAGGGAGGCAGCATCTGGCAACGGAGCAGGAATCAGTCTACGACGCTGGAGGCCTAAAATACAGAAGACAAGTGTTCCTCAGACTCTAAGAGACTAACAGACTGCAGAACATGCCACAGTGAATTAAAGAAAGGTCTAGGTTCTCAGAATACGTAGGAAAAAATGCTCTTCTTGATCTCCTTTTACTAAAATACCCTCAGGCTGCTAATTGAGTTACTGTCTTGACAAAGTATGTTTCATTTGGTTCACGGATGGGAGTGACAGCAGTCCCTCTCCCAAAGCAGATGTCTGAGCACCAGTTCTTTATTCTCTCCATACAAAAATATTTTGCCTGGATTAATTTTTCTTTGGTGAGCTACAGTGGTATTCACTACCTTACAATGGCAATGAGATAGTGAGTAATTTCAAACCAATCCTGATAGTGGCAGTTGAATCTGGAAATCTCCTGCTCTTCCAGTTAAAGCCAAGCAAGGCTAAGATCCCTCTCACTGTATTACATCTTCGCAAAGAGAAAACAGTTCCCTCCAGAACTACTACCAATGCTTTAAGGTGGTAAATACCAGCAGTTTTCAATGACTTTGTGAGATTGGGGAGGCATTCAGAAGGCAGCGACCAACCAAGTTGTAACCTGAGCCACTTCTGATGTTGAGGCCTATCACCACCCATTTGCACCAGCATTCAGAAGCTCAAAGCATCACAAATCTCACCAATTCCCCAACGGGAGGGCTGTCCATTAACAAACAAACAGCATACTGCCACCTTGATGCATCTGCTAGGGATCAAGTTTCCTAAAGCGGAGACTGACTTTTGTCCTTCAAAAATACCGGTACTTTTGTACACAAGAGTTGGCATTTTGGTGTCCAGCATTTTTTGTGATTATAAATCTCTCTTCATTCTCTGAAAGGTTGACCTTTACGCTACATGTGTCAAGAATGAGTACATGCAAAGAGCTGGTCAAGCAACGTTAACAAGGCTGCAGTCCAGTCCTTAGGTAAATAGGAGGGCTGAAGGCCACCGGAACCAAGCTGAAATATCACATGGTAGCAGTAAGTATAAGCAGCTTTTGGGTGACTGGTGGCAATGAATTTATGCCTAATTTCCTCATCTTTCTGAAAACCAGCTCAGAGGTAAGGAGTCTTATTTCTTCTGGTCTTCTTACAAAACAGAACACATCAAACAGATGAGACAGTGCTGCTCAGAGGACAGTGCTGCCAAAATAACTTCTGGGCTGAGACCTCTCCAGAAGAGTACAAGAGAAGGCTGTCAGGTAAGCCCTGTCACAAATTTCAACATGAAATGAAGACAAAATCCCAACAGGTACCCCCAAAGCAACACACCTCCACGGATACCTGAAGAGTTACCTGCTTTATAGATTCTTAAAAAAAAATCCCTACTTCTTAATTGCACCCTTGCTAATCTCTAAGTAACAAGAACAATCACAATGAGAATGTTCTGGAAAGGGGAAGACCTGATTCTACTTCTACAACACCTGTTCATGATTCCCACAACCCCAATTCATTTAGCCTGAATCACCACTATAGTCCTGCCTGCTGAAATCACCTGCTGTAACTTTGCTCCTGTAACCACTTTGGTGACAGCAGAATCCCTCTGAAGTGGACGCTGAACAGATGCAGAAAAACACATATACTAAGCAGACAAACTTCATATCCTTCCACTGTACCAGCCAGGGTCGAGGTCATTTCTCCAAGGATGAAGTTAAAGGATAAGGGGACAGGGTTTCTAGTGACACAAATGGGAGTAGGATCTGTCCTTAACACCAGAGACTGCATGAGTCAAACACAGTTTGGAGCAATGTAAGCTACTCCAAGAATCTCTAGCACTTTGAAAAGATTGCAATATATTTTAGGCCAATAATGGGTCTGCACCAAACTTTTCTTGCAAGAAATATTTCATGAACTTCCTAGGAAACTTTAACGTAAAAAACACATTATTGTCTAAAACTCTACAGCATTCCAAAAAAGTAATACATCATTTACTGATATAGAGCAATTTCAATTGGAAAAATAAATAGTTCATCATTTTTAAAGACCTTATAAAGCATTTCCTGGGGCAAAACCAAACACAAATCCATTAGTGGGTAATGCCTTCTCAATATGTGTGCAACTTATACAGCTGTTAATATTGATTTGTAGGAAAGGTTTAAGAGGTTGATATGCCATGGAAAGAGAATGGCAGAAAATGTTGCACTAAGTTTCCAAAATGATTTATCACCTGCTGAAGCAACTCAGTTGCTTTGACCAGAAAGCACCATGAGATCTACGTCAGTTTAACTCATTTGGTTTTACTGACAGAATCAAGCATCATGGGTGCCTACAGGGATTAAAATAATTACTGCTTTCCAACTAAAAGCTCAGATTCAGTGCATTGCTGATATTAGTTCCTAATATTATTTTCAACAGTGTGCTTAGGTTGCTGAATGAGGCTGCTGATCATTAGCTATATGGCATCGCTTGCCACCAATTCTTTATGATACTACAGGACTTCAACCTAGATCAGTAAAAACGAATACTGTAACAGCAGTCATATGAGCATGATTTTGAAGCTGGCTACAACTAGCTGCACTTACATGAGCACCACCTGTGAGAGCAATAAGAAAAGGCACTGGAGAGCAGAAAAGAGGAGCTGGCTCTCGCATGCCCACCTTTGCATGGCATGGTCAAACGTGTCTGACAGCACAGTAAGTGAGCCAGAGCCACTTCTGAGCAACCCCCCCAGTCAGTTACCTGTTGCTTATAGTATGCACACGTACACTTTAAAATTTCTTTATAAAAACACTATTACAGCGCAATACAACAATTTTGCAATGAACTGGCAGCATTCATGTAAGAGTTGCTGCATCTTATATGTGCACCCTACTGCTCTGCCTCTAAGCCTTACCTTTGAGTAATCTAATGCACATTCAGCAGTCCTTATTAATTCACACTCTTGTCCCCTCCAGGCCTATTCCCTTGTTTCCAAACTACATTCCCAGCCCATCTCAATGAAATTCCCTCACAGACACCTGGCAGAAGAGCTCCTCTTCTCACTGCCCTTCTTTCACCAGTCTTCCTTGACACCTGATCATCACAAAAACTCATCAGCACCCACCCAGCACCCTCACTCTTTCCAACCAACCCGTAACACCCTCCTGTTTTGGGCCGCTGCGGTGCTGCACTCGCTGCCGACGCTGCTGAGGGAGGAAGGAACGTCTCCCCGTCTGCCGGTGGCCATCTGCTGCCTCGTCCCTCGCAGGGAGGCCGCCGGCGCCCCGGGGCACCCAGCACCTCTCCTGCCCTCTCCGCCACAGCACCTGTGTCACACCTGCAGCTTTGAAGTGAAATAAATGACAAGTAGCTGCTGTCACAGCGATACACGTGCGCACGCAAGCGCGTGCAGGCAGTCCACCTCCCCGCTTACGAGTTTCCCCAAAACTTTCTCTCCCCCTCTGTCAGAGACACCATGAAAACCCACCGTCCTCAGGGATGCAGCGGAGCACCAGTGGACACCTGGCCACCTTCTCATTCATTTCTTACCTGTTGAGCGTTTCTTGGGGGACTTGAGGCTCCTCATCCGGCCCGGCGATGACATCCCGCTTTCGCTCATGGAGTCATGCGCCGAGGAGGCGCTGCCAGTGGCCTCACTGTCCCGAATCATGCTCTCGTAGCCGCTGCTGCCCCCACTGTGGTAAAACAGAGCCGTCCGCCCCATGGCCGGCGGCAGCTCCCCACTTAGGACGCTGCTGTTGTCGCTGCCGTGCCCGCTGCTGTACCGCTGAGGCCGCCGGGGTGCCGTTATCTTGCTGTACGGCGACGGCAGCACCGGGATTTGCGACTTCTCATCGCTGAGGTTAATGCCGCTGTCGTTGCCGCTGTCGGAGTCGGTGGAGCCTCGGAAATGGCCCACCTTGGCCGAGCCGCCCGACACCAGCTCATTCACACGGCTGTTGGCTGCCCTCATGGCCTGCTTGGTCCCCATGATGGTCCCTCGGCCGGGTTTGCCACTGACAGGCTGCACGGAGCGGGGGGCCGCCTTCCCGCCGGGGGCCATGCCAGAGCCCTTCCCCACGGGCTGCGCCAGGGACTTCACAGAGGAACTGAGAGACTTTGACCCGCTGGCAGAGAGGCCCCGGTTTTTATTCCCGTTCGCTTGCACCTTCTGGTTAGCTGTGGGTTTTGTCTGGCTGTTTTTGCCGGGCGCAGGGGCGGTGAAGGGCGGTGGTAAACCCACACCAGAGGCAACAGGAGGGACCCCCAGCCTGGGGACGGAGCGCCCTGCCCGGCTGTTGCTGGTGCTCCCATTCTCTCTCGCCATGCTCGCTTTGGATCCGACTGACGTCAGGCTGTCGCACCTCTCCAGGGACATGTGGCTCCCGTAACGGTGTACAGCTTCGCTCTTCGATGACTTCGCCTTTAAGCTGGACGTCATCTTGGGCAAAGAGTGGTCGCCCTTCAGGTTCATTTTGCTGCTGGCACTTTCACTGAAGTAAGACCCAACTTTCAACCGCAAATCTGCTTCGTCTTCAGCCTTTGGTGTGGCAGCTCTGGCAAAGTCCAGGCTGGAGGCTTTTCCCCCACCGTTACCCAGACCAACAGGTTTCTGCTCCAGGCTTGATTTGCGTACAGGAGGTGTTGGAGGTGTTGGTCCACCTGGCCTGGGCAACATGGTTGCCTTCTGTGGTGCGCTCTTCTTTCCCAGAGATGATTTCAAGCTGCCAGTGGTCAAGGGAGCATCTGAATTCCCTCGGGTCATTGCCTCTGACAAAGTACTGTTAGCATGCGACACTGGCATCACTCCCAGCGTGGTGGCTCCTCTCTTCAGCTGTGGCATCTTCATCGCAACTTCTGACTTCTTTGCAGCTCCGCTGGAGGATTTGCAGGCCATTTCGCAACCATCCACAACCCTCTGTGAACAGGCGAGCATAGTCTGTGACTTCGTTGGCCTGGATGCTGCGCCAAAATACTGGGCAGCTTTTCCTGACTGCTTCTCAGTACCAAATGCATGAGATTTTGGAGACAGTAGTGCATCTGCAGGTTTTGCTTCCAACTGATAATCAGTGCGCAACAGCCAGGGATCCTCAAATATACCATGCGGATTCTGCAGCTCTTTATAGCTGAGGACAGTATTATTGTGGATTGGAGACGAGGTAGTTTTTGTTTTCCTAGGAAGACTAGAATGTATTGTTTCTATTACAGGCGTATCACGAGAATTACTAAATTTTATTTTTATGGGTTGATCAGTGACACAAAAAGCACTTTTTATCTGAGATGCTTTGGTAGTTTCAGAGGTTTGAGGGCTTTTGCTGAGGCCTGAGGACAGCTTGCTGGAACTCAAGCTCTCACTCTCCAGTTCAGAGAAGCAAAATCCACTGTCATTCAGAGCGCTTTTCAGGGGGACAGATAAATGGGATGAATCCAAGTTGAAGGGTTCCTCGGACTTATTACAGCTATAAGATGACTGTGCGACAAAACTGTCACTGGACTGGGCTCCATCACTTTCAATAGTACAGATACTGACTTCACTAAGCCACGAACTGATGGAGGAACGTCTGCTGCTGGTAAAGGGATCTTTAGCAAAGGGCACAACGATATCAATATTTACACCAGTAGAAGTCTCCTGTGAGGTATAAGCATCAAACTCATCATTTATGCTGCTGATAATACTGACTGGCCTTGAACCTGATGCAAGGGCCTGAAGGGAGCAGTCGCTGTTAAAGCTAATGATACTGGAAGGTCTTCCATTATCCATAATCCCGCTAATGGACAGTTCTTCCACCACAGTGAAAACAAGCTCATCCTCTCCATTCAGCTCAACAGGCTGCTGCAAAGTCACTGTGGTGGTTAGTATATCCCGATCAAAACATTTCCCTCTGAATGCTGACCTGAAGCTGTGTACCTCTATTGCACCTGACTGACTCTGGGCATTGCTACCAACCAGGAACGTGCTTCCTACAGGGTTTTGCTTAGATTTGTTTCCCATCTGCTTGCTCATTCCCACAGGAGGAGTCCGAACTTCATTGCTATTGTCCAGCTCCAAATTCTCAGCTTTGGAGCTCGGTACATGCTCTTTCTGCTGTGGAGGTGGAGGTGCTGGGCTCGGCAAGGGTCTCTTCACGTACAGGGACTTTTCCTTAAAGACACATTCAGCTGTGGCCTTATTCTGCTCCGGATTCCTTGAAGGGCTACACCTTGAGGACTGCAGGGAATCGATGATTGTCTGTCTCTCTCCCTCCAGTATCGAGTCTATTATTTTGTTGTCAGGTCTGCTCTGGGGCTTGGAAAGCTCTGTTTTCAAGTGAGGTGTGCTCTTTTCGTGACAATTGTTGTTGCCACCCCTCGGTGCAACAGCCTGGAAAGGAAGGTTATGTCCTTTTTTGGGAGATGCAGTTTCTTGTGGAATTGGTTTCTTAAATCCTCCAGAAGGAGAAGATGTTTTTTCCTTTATCAGCTTAGACTGTGTATTTTCTGTACCTCCAGGGACTGAACTACAATTGGACACAACAGAGATCTCTCCACAAGCAAATTTGATGGGTTCCTCACTTCCATCAATGCACTCTAACCTTTCTTGCAGTTCAGCAAACGTGTTGCATTTGAAGTGGTCCTTGTCAGAACTCCTACCAATAGCAGAATTGTCTTTACTTCTCTTCTTGTTTAGGGATGGGATTATGGGAACAAACTCTGGAGGACCTTCATTATCTGTCAATTCCCTGTCAGACAAAGCTGCGCCATTGGGACCAACATAGATGACAGTATCACAAGACTGTTCACTGCTGGAGGAATAATCAGGGTCACTAGATATACTGAGGACAGGAAGGTCGGGGTCAAGGGCAACAGTTCGTGGGTGGAACGGTCGCAAATGGGGCGGTCTTCGGACATGCCCTTCTTCACAGGAACTCTCTCCTCCAGATGAGCTTGAGGCATACTGCAAATGATCAATAAGGGAAAAGTTATTTATTTATATATAAATATATATATGTACATATAATTTATTAAAAAGTCAGGTTTGCTATATACTCTGTGATTTGCATATACTATCAGAACTACATCTAGTGGAAAAATGTTATGAGTGTGAATTAAAATAACATGGTCATGCTACACAGATTTTACTCTATTAGGAGTAATATAACAATCACACGTTTTCAGATAATTTCCACTAAATATGATGCATCGTCTTTCTCTTTAACAGTTTCCTCTTCCTTTCTTATTGTTTTTTAATTAATACAAATAGGAGCTTTTTAGATAGTTTGACATATAAGCAAAAAAAGAATATGTGCTTGGAATAAAAAGAAGGGAATTTCAGGATTAAGGATTGGGGGTGGGATGGTGGCTCAGTGCCAAGTCATTTGTCAGTTCCTCTCCTGAGCTTTTATGCATTTTGTATTACTTTTTACCACCGAGAAATCCCATGTTCCCCCACCAAGAGGTTAGGAAAACTCATTTTCAAATGAGTTAATTTCTCCCTGTTTGTGAACCAACCTTGGATTTCTTCTTTCTCATTCGGTGGATTCGCGATGCAAGCTGAATGGTGGTGAGAGTTTCTGCATAATTGGCTGGGGAGTCAGAAATATGTGCAATCATAGTAGTTCTGCAGTTGATGTTCCCAAGTGATTCCCTCAACAACATTGTCAACTTGTTGTCCCTGTGTAACAAATGAGAACACCAGCACGGTTTAAAGAAATTACAATCTTTTTTTGCAGATTTTTACACCACAAGCTGTGCTTTTACTCTCACAGGATATATGCATGTATGGTACGTGTAGATAAGAAATATGCCTCTATTATTTGACCACACTTAAAATGTGTCTAAATGTACACATACAAAGATACCAATATTATAATTATTTATCTGCCTGTGTATTTCCAGTATGATAAGCCATTTTATTTGTTACTTAGACAATTGTAAAATGATTGATAACTAGCTTAGCTATTTCAGGTTTAGCTCATATTACCCAAAAAGCTTATGAGTGCTGTATTTTTAGCTGAGCAGACTTGGTACCTGGATAGCTAAGCTCTGTGAGCTCTGTGAAAACAATTTTGATAATAAGAAAAGAGTAAGTCAACAGAAAAGGCAAGAAATCTCTAAACGAGTATAACAGTGTTAGGTATCAGAAATATATTATCAGTACCACCCAGCTAATCTAGTTTCCATTCTGCCTGCTGGTGTTCTGCTCTGACATAGCAAAGGGAAAGCAGGAATCTGAAGGCTTTCTTGGTGATACAAGTCCTCCACCACAGACAGCAAAGCTGACAGGACAGGTGACATTTCGTCCTCCACTCGCACCTCCCAGACATCTCACCCCAGGGCTCTCTGGAGGGTCCTCCCTATCGCACCCCTGAGCCGGCCCAACATGTGGGAACTACCGTCATGTCTGCTCACTAAGCCATGGTAGGTGACAGAGTTGAGGATCTGCCCTTCCCTATTCTAACCTATCCATCCTCTACTCCATCCACAAACCTAGCAACTAGCCTGAGAAGATTATCTTTCTGACTAATACTGAAAGAAAGAACACCTGTTTGAGATGCAGCACTAGATAAATATGTGAAATGACATGATTGATAACAACGGCACAAAGTTATAATGCATGAAGACAAGCAGCAATTAAATTTAAGGTCTGAAAGCCAAGTTCTGGTAATGGTGTTTACAATGTGGCTGTTATGTTTAACCTGGGCTCCCACAGGTGTGTTTGACATAATATTATTGTCAAGTACACTCCACAAAGGAACACATCTAAATGTTCACTTGTGCTAAACAAATGTGCAACATGATGGTGGTCTTCTGTTTAAATCAATAGATGCATCATTCAAAAAGGCATACGGAAATATCAACATTTGATGACAATACTCGCTAAACTCTCTAATATTTTCTGAAATTTCAATACATTTTTTAAATTTGGTAAAAGGAGTAAAAATTCTATGAAATTTTGATGAAATTGTTCACTAACATCCAGCTGGCTGAGATCGGTCAAAATTCCAAACCCAGGAAACAAAGAGGAAATAGAAAGAAAGAAAAGATTTTGACCATTTTCCCCTGATTTTTTCAACAATCAAACCCTCCCCAACATTTCACCCAACTTAAGTATATATCAATATGCAGGTAATTTTTGGCCGTGTAATTAAGAATTTCATGTTACTATGTGCCAATTAAACAACTGTGTATACGCATATATATGTATAGACAGGTAGATTAATAGATATATGTATCTGTAATATAGAAGTGACCTGAAAGAAGACAGACTCCTCTCTGACAGAACTTCCTTTAACTTCATCTTAGCTAAAAAGTAAATCGTTGATGCAATTCATTGCTAAGGTAACATCAGCCACAAATTTAAGATAATGCAGACAATAATTCACTTACTTATACGGCACATGCTTAGCACCATTAATTAAGGCCAAAATTACATTGCCCAGGGCAGAGAGAGACAGACACAGAGAGCCTCCTCCGTCTCGGCTCTTGCTCAGCACTTTTTCACAGCTCCCTAGATCAATGAGATGCAAACGGCTGCGTCCTCCAGACACTAAAACAAAAAGAGGAAAAACAGTTGTACATCACGTTCTTGCATGGACTCAAGCCAAACGTGGTATGCAAAATACATTCAAATGAGGAAAATAACGAATGCAGCAAGGGATAATGACTGAATTAAATATTAATAGTAAGGAAAACAGATATTAGCCACAGCTCCCAAAGTTAAAGGTGACTCGACTGGCTTGAGGGTTCTCTTCATTTTTTCTTTTTAAGTTTATTGCAACTTACTGCTTAAACTAACCCAAACCACATCATTTAAAAATAAACAATATGGTAAGAAGATTCATACTTCCTCCTTTGCCACTCTTCTCCATGCGATACTGGTATATGTGAAGAGTAAAAAGCATATGTGAATTCCTCCTATCTTCTTCCTCGCATTCAGGTTTGCTGGTACTTCTGGCAGCAATTGCAGCATCCAGGAAAAAGGCAGCTTTCTCTGCTGTCGGGGCCCTTAGCTCACTTTGGTTTTGAAGCTTGAATATAAAAAAGAAAATGACTAATTAGCACAGGGGCATTTGGCTTTTATTTTTTTTTGCTGAACTGGCTAAATCTCTAGGGCACTAAAAGAAACAAATATGTACACCATGGGAGAAAGACTTATAAATTAAAAACAATAAATTTTTTTTTTACCGTCTTAAAAGTTGTCATAATTGTTGTCAGATAAAAGGAAATAAAAAGCAGAACAAAGTCAGGCTCAGAAAAATCTATGTTGTGATATCCATTATACCTGGGTTCCACATATTGGATCTTCTCTCAGATAAACCCCGGGAGACTGGCCATCCTGAAGGCTGCCAGTGGCTACTTCAGCTAACAAATCCTTAAGGTTTTCATCTTTGCCACTGATCTCCACAGCAGATACTCTAATAGAGAAACGAGTACCAGTTTTTTCTTTACGTTCATTGATTAATTTGAAGAGCCAAGAAATTGCACAGGGGATGATACCAAGGCTTTGTGTGGAGTTATCTTTCCCAATCATGGTAAAAGATTTTCCTAGAATGAAAAGACAAACATGAATTTCATTCACCTTTATTGTACAAGACAGTGTCTCTTCATATCACCACTCCACATTACAAGCAATGCCATGTGCTGGGAAACAACAGATGTAAAAATGCAAAGTATTTAATTATTAATCCATTACTATTTATTCAATTAGTTTTGCAATTTTGGTAACTCAGACCAACTGCAAATTAATGTTAAAAATGTCTCTGATCTTTTGATTTTCATCACAATGCACCTACATAAACTTGATCTTGAATAAGTTAATCTGATGTTACGTTTTACGTTTTCAAATTAAAACTTACAACCCCAGTGTAGAAATAAACCATGATAAGTTTGCAAAGCTAATTAAAAAGAAATTCTAATCTATTCATATACTCCAGGTTTATTGTTCCAGGAGCTGACAGCATGTAATTACCAGACTGACATAGTAATTAACTGTAACGAATTTGGGAGCTCACCAAGCTTGACATGACCAAAGCAAAATATGCAACCATCTGCACCATTCACAACAGACTGGATTACTTCTGCTACTGTTCCAGAGCATACCTCAGCCTGAAAGAAAGATTGGAGACAAATAAATAAAAGAGCATATACTGCTATGGTTTTTACTATTCTTCTGTAATGAAATGAATGACTCAATATTTTTGAGGCGCAATATTCTCCCCATTTTTATGGCAACAGTCCTATTATTTTAGTAACTATGCTATCTTAAAAAATAATAAAATATGTTACTACAGCCTAAAATAGTTTTCAATTCTATTAAACCAATTGTCTTGGAATATTGATTCTATGACTAATGTAGCAAACTGAATGCTATCCAACTAGGCTTCCTGCTGGTATAATAGCTTAGCTGAGGCTATTCAGCAGTAGTAGCAACTCCACTGAAATTAAGCTACTCAAGAGCGCTCACAGGAATTAGACAGGCATTCACACTGGAGAAAATGCATTAAGATCCCTGAATAAGATTTCATAGTATCACATTTTCCTCTTCCAGGGGAAACATCATCATCAATAAAGAGAACTTGCTAAAATATTTGAGTGTACTAAAACCAGTTTATCCACGTCAGCAAAGGTTTCAAATATACAATAAGATGATCTATTAAGTATGGCAACTGGGGTTAGGGGAGAGGGTTGGTGTAAATATGTAACGACAGTGAAATGACAAGGCTCTGTTTGCAGGTGCATGGCAGCAAGCTTGCCTTGAGCAACAACATCTGCACAGAAGTGGCTGCACTGGCCAGTGTCACCCAGAACACCACGAACAGGCCACCATAAGGACCCGAAAGAGCCTAGTGGAAACCTGGGGTCAACAACCTGAAGGACTGGTGCCAAAACCAGCAGAGGAGCAGGCTGTGACCAGCCACCTTGCAACCAGGGCTGGCAACACGAGTAGGAAGAAGCCACTTACAGTTCCGCACTTATGTTGCGATCACTCTTGCACATTTCTGCACAAAGATGCCGTTTGAGCTTATGCAGGATCTTAAAAACAGCCTCCTGATGTGGTTACCATTACTTTAGGCACTGATGTGTGTGGGAGGTCATTTTCCATCTTTAGTGCTTGGCTAGAACTTGGACTTAATAGATATATCTCTAGTTTGGGACATAGAAAATTAAACAAAATCCTAGGAGAAAATCTGAGGGTGGGATTCTGAACTAGATCTTGTCATGTTTTCTCAACATTAATATACCACTTTCACTTTGGATGTTTTAAAGTGTATTTTTTCACCCTAATTTTCTTCAGCACTTTCTCTTTTTAAAGCTGTTCTAGGATGATTTTTCTGAACCAAAGATTTTTCCCAGAAGGAAATTTCACATGTCCATGAGTACAATCTCACCAAATATACTGCAGCCCTCAATCCTCTCAAATACCAGCCATCCCATCTGTGTATCAGATTTCAGGTCTGGGGCTACTACCATACAAATACACCCTTTTGCAGGTCAAAAGAAAAGGTATGCACCATCATCAGCATAACCATCAAGATAAAATAATCATTCAAAGCCACAGTATAAACAAACTGTAAAAGGTGAAGAAAATATAAAAGCTCCCTAACTGTTTCAGTATAGAAATCCAGTGGGGTGAGCTGTATCTCTTCTCCTAACAACAGCATTTAGTTTAACACTAAGCACATGTTCATTTCCCATTGAAAGCAGTGGGGAAGGACTTTATTTCAGTGACATCAAATGGGTTAAAACCTAACCAGACGGAAAACTGAATTTCAAATTGGCTGTGTGTCTGTCTCTAACAAGAGAAAATGAAGGAAGATCCTTTAGTCAGCAAATCCATCTCCTAAGCTATTATTCCTTAATTTTACGTCTCAACTGAACTGAATGTGTAAGAATTTACCCACTTGTCTATTAATTACCATGTTTTTTCCAGGCATTAAGGCAACTCATTCAAATAAAATTCCCCAGAAACAGGAGGAACTCTTCAGGCAATCAAATGCAGTGGCCATGAGAAGACTCAGGGGGTTTATGGGAGTGACTCCGGTACCTGTGAAGCATCCTGGGGGAAAACTGCATCAAAGGCAAACATCTTTGGGACAGCAACAACACCTCTTCTGTGACCTGCATTGGACGGCCCGCTTGCTGCTGGATCATAAAACGTGATTTGCTTTTTTCGTGGGTCTACCTTTAGGAAGGACATGGATTCGGATGTTTCATGTGTTCCTTGAGAGGGACAAATCCTTACCATCACTTTCACCTGCAAGAATTCAGAAGAAAGCAACAGCCTGAGTTCCCAGTTACAGATAAACACATGCAAAACATTCCTCCCAAACCCACTCCCCTTCCCATGACACGTTCATTTGTAATATTTAGGTGTGTCAGAACAACCGTGGGACAAAACCAGAGCCAGATTTTCCAGCCTGGTTTCCACCCTGGGGTCTTCAGTGAACTAGTTTTTAAAGGTGCACTTTGTCCCTTCAGTTGACTTTGTTCCAGATTTATCATTTCAATTTATAAATGTCTGATTTGCAGGTATAATTCACTGTAGGTGTAATACTATGCCTAAAGAAAAGGAAACTCTAGTCTCCTACCTTTCCAGTAGTCAATGTGACCGCAAGCACAAAACCATCCACTCTGAAAATCAGTCTAAATAATGCAAGCTCAGACAGCTAGTGCATTCAAACTAAATCTAGGAACTTTCAATTCCTTGTTCACATTCCTCTAATAAAAAAGTGATTCTCTTATAGCTTTCCCAGGCAGATGCCTTTATGCTGTCATTGCTAGGCTCATTGGTGGTTACAGATTTAATGGGAAAGAAGGGAAAAAAGAAAAAAAAAAAAAAAAAAAAACACAAAACGTTAAAAGGTCAGAAAGCTTGAAAAGAAACCATTCACAAAGTACATTTCTATTGCAGCACTGCAAATGCTGATTTTCTACACATGGCATTTTAAGACAGCATTTTGAGAGAGCACATGTTGGCTGTGATTTCCAAAGCAGCTTATGGGAGGCTAAGTGACTGGATCTCACAAAACTTCAGCAAAGGCTGTGCGCCTCCTTCTTTTAAGCTTCCTGAAATACTGCCTCACACCCACTTACGACCATTTTTCTTCATGAAATGCTCCTAGATCAGAAACAGCATGTTTTATACACCTTGCACTGAAGTAAATTACTATTACAGATGCAACTTCAACTCAGCACTGCCCAGCAGATCAAACTTAAGAGAAAAGTAATGCTCAGTCAGAGTGACTTTCCATGGCCAGTATGAAATGTTTCAATAACCAGAAGAACAGTATTAGCTCCTTATCCAACTAACAGACAACTTTCACAGCACCAGTGTTAACCATCTGGTTTCACTGGGTGAAGAGCCTCCATAGCTGTGATATACCATAGCCAACACAGCTGCAACAATTGTATTTTCCAGAGCTCCCATCAGAAGCTTCATCTTCTGCAATGCAATCACTGATCCACAAAGCACCCACACTCCTTTTACAGCACTTGCACTGATTTGTAAGAGAAGTAACAGAAAGCAACTCCTTTGCTGCAAAACTACCAGGTGAAGCCTCCAAACACAGAGCACGTAGTCACTGGCTGATGAGCTGGCGCTTGGCACTGGTGAGGCCACACCTCAAATACTGTGTTCAGTTTTGGGACCCTCAGTACAAGAAAGTCATTGAGGTGCTGGAGCATGTCCAGAGAAGGGAAACAAAGCTGGTGAAGGGTCTAGAGCATAAGTCTTGTGAGGAGCCACTGAGGCAACTGGGCTGTTTAGTCTAGAGAAAAGGAAGCTGAGGGGAGATGTTATCACTCTCTACAACCTGAAAGGAGGTTGTAGGAAGGGGGGTGTTGGTTTCTTTTCCCGAGTAACAAGCAATAGGACAAGAGGAAATTGCCTCAAATTGCACCAGGGGAGGTTCAGATTGAAAATTAGGAAAATTTCTTCACCAAAAGGGCTGTCAAGAATTGGAACAGGCTGCCCAGGGAAGTGCTGGGGTCACCATCCTGGAGGTATTTAAAAGGCATGTTTCTGTTGTGTTTAGGGACATGGTTTAGTGGTGGACTTGGCAGTGCTAGGTAAACAAATGGAGTCGATGATCTTAAAGGTTCTTTACAACCTAAATAATTCTATGAATTGGGCCCACTTCTAGCCCTGAGGTGGATGTTGCATTGGGAAGCTGGGTTGGAAAGCATGCATCTCTGATAAAGAATGATCCTCCTTGTCAGTAACTTTTTGCTGCTAAATTTAACCTTAAATCTGCCAGAACAATTTGACTCCTACATACTATGTCCTGGGAACATTATGTCATTGAAATGGTCTGCACTTATTACACTAACACATTTTTTGTGCCTTTACAATAAAAAAAGTGCTTGCAGTCATCACTTCCCCATCACTCCTGTATCCAAAGAAATTATGGCAAAGGAAGAACCAAAGCTGAAATACTAATTCAGCAAAGCACAACATGGGAAACGCAGGCAACAAACCGAGACTGGAGCTGGCTGAGCCACCCTCTAGGACTGCCCTCCATACCAGACAAGATGCAAAGGTGATGGCATGCACACTGAAAAGTAGTGCCCAAGTCAGGATGATCCATAGCAGATGGATGGGTGCAGCAGTAAGCACCGTGCTGAACTGTCCCTGCCTTTATCAGCTGGGGAGGGTGGACAGTTTGAAGATTTCATTTAGGTTCTCAACTGTTTCATTTTTGTAACTCCTCCTTTCTACAAGGGCTAAGCTGCACACAGGCATCCCTGAACAATTACTCAAGCATCCCCACAGAAAATATTTTCCACAAAGCGGCTATAAAAGCCTTCCCCCAACATTTTTTCCAAACAAAGAGGTTAAGAAACATCCAACCCCTCCAGTAACACTGCAGGAGACTTCACCAAAGTAGCAGCAAATTCTTCCACCTATTGACTCAAACAGTCCCCTGATTTCAACACTTCCTTTTCTTTCCCCTTTCATAATGATACGAATATGAAAATACACTCACAGAAAACAAGCGAACCTTAGAATAAATGAAACAGCTGCTTCAAAAGCAAAGTGCATCAGAGGTGACACACTCAAGGCTGTTTCCCCATAAAAGCTCCATGAAGCCAGCTTTGTGTATTAGCCTGCTAGCTCAACCTTGACATGCTACCAAGGTGCTCAGAAAAATAACCTCCCTCGGGGGGAAAAAAAAAAAAAAAACAACAACCCAAAACCTAAATATATATTTAAGTATAAATACCCACTTCAGGGTCACTTGATTAAAATGAATTTTAAAATATATGCTGTTTTCAAAGCACTTCTCTAAACAGTCAGTTCTGTTTTCTCTTCCACCTATTATTAGATTATAGCAGCCAGAGCTTGGATAAGAGGAAAATTGGTTTGCTCCTGACCTAAACAGCAAGTTACGTTTATCAGAGCGTTGCTCCCTCTAATACAAAGACGGCTTCACCCCCAGAAAAACCTTGTGTGTCAAATCAGCTTTTTGAGATCACCTCTCTGAAGCAGAAAGATACTAAAATATCTTCCCATAATGGATCAGATCCCAAACTTAACAGGCCTCAAGGGTCATCTTCATTTCTACAATGGAAGTGAGCTTTCAAAACAAAGGGGAAGGGGAAGACAAGAGCAGTTTGAAGGAGCTCCTCTTCTATTTCTTGGTGTATAAAAGCTGATTTGCAGAGTAGAAAACCACTGATTTCAAATTTAGTTTCTCTGCCCACTAAATCTATCTACAGGGGATAGATACAACTCTACCAAAAATGCAGAGTTATAATGTATCACATACATTCACCACGCTGAGCCAGACCCTGACTTCACTCAAAAATTAAGCAGAAATGTTCATGAAAGTATCAACAAGGACAAAGATTACTCAAACATATCCCTTCATAACAGCAAAAACTAACTGCAGACAGATCCTGGGTACATGCACTTACTTTTAAGTATGTAAAAGAAAGTTTTGGTGTTATACTATTTATTCTTCTTACACTTTTTGCCCTCCCGTGTCTCAGTACCAAGCTGAAGTGGCAGGTTTATATTCTCGGTTCTGAAGTTCATCCCAGTATTCTTCTGGGATGAGTACTGCAGAAAAAGCAGCGTATTATAGAGCCAGCATGGTTCCTGCCTTAAGGATCTACTTAATTGCATCTTTCCTGGGTCTCCCCATCTAGTTCTCATACAAAAGGCATGCTCACCTGTAGAGATAGCAATGTGCAGTGCAGGAAATCATCCAGATACAAGGGCTTGCAGTGAGGGGAGGATTCAAGAAAACACAGGAACCTGTAAATCTTAAAGTAAATTTGGCCCCGTTTTGAGGGAGCAAAGCAGCAATACTTGAACTGCACTCTAATACTTTTATTTGCTTATGAAAATTAATTACTAGAATTAAGTGAAATAACATTAATTTCAGGCCTACTCAGGATCACACGCTCTGTGGGCAGTTATTCAACAATACGGCCAGCTTTCGGGTGGTCAGTTCCAACTGCAGCAGTACCAGCTACTGGCAACACTTGTACAAAGCAAATAAACACAAGATAAGGAATTTAGAGGAAAATGAAGAAATGGAAGAATAAGACAAGTCTACAAGAATAAGACCAGGTCTGGGGTTTTAAAAAAAAAAAAAAAAAACAACAAACAAAAAAAACATAGCTAAAAGGAATAGCAACCAGGGCAGGGAGAGAGAAAGAACACAAGAAAGGAAAGAACACAACTACAGCAATTCCAGAGAAGTCATCTCAGGCTCAGGGCGCCACTGCCCTGACCACTTTCAGACCCCTTTAAGGAAAGCTAAAATGACACATCCATCCTGTGGTGGGGGTAACGCTTCCTGCTAGAACCGGGGATTTTTAGTAACTCCTTTTTTATCCCCTTTTGTGTATTTCTTCTTCAACGTCACAGAAAGATGCAGAGTAAGAAAAAGAATTACAAGTGGAAGTTATCAAGGATATGAGGATTTGTGCATAGACATTCAGACAGACATTGAATAGTGGACAGAGGCTCCATTTTAATGAGGATGTTGATAGAAAAAGAGGATAGGTTTGTATTTGAGTTCAATTTCTGCAAATAAAAATAAAAGAAACACAAACATCACAATACTTGGACATTATTAACATTTTTCTCAGTTCCTGAAGACAGCCTAAATCATGCAAACCACTGAAGTATCTCATTAATTAACTGACTCTAATCTTGTGGGTTTTGTGCACTGGGGGTTAACACCCCACTACTGAACTTTCCAGATTCATGTGTCTGCAGGAACCAGGAGGTCAGCAGAATTG